AAGAAGAAGAAGAAGAAGAAGAAGAAGGAGAAGAATCTCATCTCGCGTAACTTTCATAATCCCGTGCGAATCGCCGGGCTGCAATAATTGTTATTAATGCCCGGTGAAACGCGGTTGCTCAACCGCGCAAGAATAGTAATGAACAATACGTTACGCGTTACGTTACGAGGTGTCAAAACGGAATGCAGCTAACGTGTTCATCTCTATTAGGATCGAATCGGTGCAGAGATTACTTGTAGGTGAACCTTTCGTTCGACGATGCAAACGCCTCGTAGTTTAGGAGATCGTTTAGTTCAACCTAGATCGAGTTTACACAGCCCAAGGTCGAATCCCGTTTTCTTCTCTCTCACGTGTCTTCTCCAAGATAATTCAACCTTTCATGATCGCGCCAATCGTGTCATCGAGGTCTCTCTCTCTCTCTCTTTCTCTCTCTACTTCCACGACTCCCATCGTTCCGAGATTCGCACATCGTTGTCGTTGGTTCGCTGAACGAAATTTCAATCAGAAAATCGCCCTTCATCGCACGATCGCCCTCATCGTCACGATCATCGCACGAAACGAGCGAAACGAGAACGAAAAAAAAAAAAAAAAGAAAAGAAAAAAAATGAAAAAGAAAAGAAAGGCAGTCCATAGTCATGTGTACACGACACGCGTACTAGGACTAATCTCACGCTTCATCCACCGTCCGTAATCGCGGCCTTTCCAAGGTAAACGGTGATGCAAAATATTCCATCGAGTATAAACGTGAGACCAACGCCTTATTTCTCAGACTCCCCGGTATCCCTTGGATCAGCAGGCTCGCCGCTCGGGATCCAGCCGGCGGACGCTCCTTCACCCATAAACTTTCCTGCTCCAGGGGAGAGCATGGCCGACACCTCGACCCTGTCGCCGGAGGCTAACATGCCGAGCTCGCCGGGCTGCCCCGTGGTCAAAGTGAAAAGCGAGTATCTGCTAGGCATCCCGAGTCCAGGGACACCGCGAGACCCTCTTCGCGGGACCGGGGCGGCAAGTGGCTTGGAGGCTCGTGATACAACATGTCCGGACCGTGCGTCGCCCGATTCAGTCTTCCCGGATGCCACTTCGATGGTCAGCTACCGAGTCGTCGAAGAACAACAACAACAGCAGCAGCAGCAACAGCAGCAACAGCAACAACACTATCAACAACAGCAGCAGCAGCAGCAACAACAACAACAGCAGCAGCAGCAGCAACAACAGCAACAGCATCAACAACAACGTTCCGGTACACCGGTACCAACCAGACTGTCGCCTTATTCGCCGATGCAAGCGGTCTCCACGACTCCGATGCCCCAGGAAGCGACTTCGAGGAGCGACAGCCCCGACAAGGGTGATCTATCGTCGGCGCAGACCAAGGAGGAGTCGGACAACTCGGTTTTCGACGGAGGAGGTGGCGGTGGTAGCGGCGGTGGCGGTCGTTCAGAGACCTCCAGTCAACCTAGTCACCGGAGCAGCCCGTCTTCGCAGTACAGCCCTAACCAGAGTATGAGCCCTAGCGCGAGTAGCACGCACGTCAGTCAACAACAGCAGACGCCGCAAACGCCGCTGAGACCGCGAGTGCCCTCGGTGCCGCCTCACCTTCTGGCTCATCATCAATTCTGGTCGCAAAACAACGGTATACAGGGGTTCGCCACGCAAAGGCTACTGAACGGGGTCATCAGCAGCGCCGTTAATTACGGGCAGAACGTGGCGGTCGCGTCCACTAGCAGCGGCACGAGTCTCAGCAGTAACACAGGGAGCAGCGGGAATGGGGCAACTTCCACGAGTACAGGGGCAACTAGTACAGCTTCCTCGTGTAAGTCGTCGTTTCTCTTCAACTTCCATACATCCACGATCACTTTATTTGATTTAATTTCCCTTCCTAAGGCTCCTCGCCTTTGGCAGGAGCAACGACGAGTTTATACGAGTTATTATCTGATTTCAGGCGAAACGATGAAACCACCGGCGCAAAGGCCCGCGCCAGCGCCCCCGAGACCACCTCCCACCGTCATCATGGGCGAGATCGGTGGTGTCCGAACGATGATATGGTCGGCACCACCGTTGGACCCCGTACCACCGCCGGCGGCCTCGTGGACGACCACCGCCGCCGCGGCTTCCTGTTCCTCCTCCGAAGAGTCGGCTGCCCAGCTACTCCTGAACCTCGGCCAGGAGTCCAGGGGCAAGCCGCCTTCCGTTTCCTATTCTTCCGGCCCGCCGCTCAACATGGAGAGGTTATGGGCCGGCGACATGACGCAGTTACCGGCCGCGCAACAGATGCAGGCGCTCAACTTGACTGCTTCCGGGTCCGGACAAACATGGGAAAGGAACGGGGGAGGGGTGATTAAGTCTGAGACGGCGTCGCAGTCGATGTCGGTTGCTCCACCAGCACCGCCGATGCCGCCTCAAGAACACGAGGAGGACGAAACGCCTATGATATGTATGATTTGCGAGGACAAGGCTACCGGTTTGCACTACGGTATCATCACGTGCGAAGGGTGAGTGCTTACCATGCTTACCATTCTTAACATTCTTAACATTCTCGGGCGCTGAGAATTTCTCGGTATTTCTTTTTTTCACAATTTTCGAAAATCAACCTAGGGGTATTATCCATAGGCAAATGTCGTTTCTTGATACTGCACAAAATTTCACTTTTTTTAAGAGTTGATACAGTTTTGTTGATTACAATCTGTAATGTAGTTTAACCTCCTGCGATGGCAACTGGTTCGCGGACCATAACGAGTGACCGAACTGTATACAATAATTCGCCGCTTTCTTTTTAAATTTAAATTCGTCGGTATATCATTGGATAGAAATTATTACTAAGAAGTAATAAATTTATTATTTGTTTCGTCTAGGTTATATTTAAATATACTTAAAACTGAGAAAATGTCGCAATTTTGGGACAAAAAATTCTCGAAGTTAAAGTTAACCTCTTGCGATGGCAACTGGTTCGCGGACCATAACGAGTGACCGAACTGTATATAATAATTCGCCGCTTTCGTTTTAAATTCGTTGGTATTCGATATGATATCACTGGATAGAAATTATTACTAGTAATAATTTATTATTAGTAAGATAGATTACTAGTAAGAAGTAATAAATTTATTATTTGTTTCGTCTAGGTTATATTTAAATATACTTAAAACTGAGAAAATATCGCAATTTTGGGACAAAAAATTCTCCACGTGCGTGGCGACGTCATTCCAGCGCAAGAGGTTAACACAATTTTAGGCAATTTTAGGCAGAAACTATCTCGTCATAATAGTCGCCGACTATTATTTCGTAATTGAGTATGAAAGTGAAACAATCTAAATAAACTTCAACTTTATTTATATACAGAATGAATTTAAACGAAACTTTGTATATCTCTCATATATATTATATTTCGTACATATAATATATTTTAGTAACTTTTTTGGCGTGATAAGCTTTATAACAATGACCTACGTGTATGACACACAACAAACAGGTTTTGGAAATTTGCCGTTTCGGAGGTCTAATATCATAACTGTCTTCCGATAAACTATTAATCTTCACTACAATATATTTCAAAATCACTCGGAATAATCAGATAAATCTGTCTGCATATAATTCATTCAAAAATTCTTCACCGTTACGATCCGTCATGACTGATATTTTTGTAATACGATAAAATTGCGATAGAAACCTAAATAAACGTAATTTTCTTTTTTATAATAAAGTGAACACGACAAAGAAAGTTTTCACAATATCCTGTATTACCATGAGTGTCAGAAATTAAACTGGCTAATGCAAGTGCAAGCACGAGTTAACCAGTCAACAACGTGTTAACAATAAGCGCGTTAAATGTCAATATGTTTAACTAGGATATGTTGTAATAAGTTAAAGTTAGTGTCGTTAGATGTTTATTAATTCGAAATTGATAGTTGTAGATGTTAATTAATTTTGCAATTTCTGTTAATTTATTAATTTGAAAGGAAAACGACATTATCTATGGATGCCCCTAATATGTTTACCAGATCGAGGACTCCGAAGCACCCGCCTTCGGTTAAGACGTCTGGGTCGCGAGCTTGTTTTTCATCATTATCAAAGATTATTGCCTCCAACGTTCTAGAAACGTCTGATTGGCTGAACTACAAAACAGGCTCGCGGGTAGCCAAGCATTAGAACATCTGAGAATCACAGTTTGCAATTGGATCAAGCTAGAAATCTAGAATCTCAGAAAGGTAGAATCTCGAACGTCTTCATCGAAGTTAAATCGCTGTCGTTGAGTAAAAAGTAGTCTCGTCAATGAGGTATATCGCGATTATCATTTCCCAACAGTCAACAAGCCAAACTTCACTTATTACGAATGATGCAGCCGCAAGTACGTGACAATGAACTTTCTTCTTTCTTTTTCTTTTCTCTGTCAGCGATCGGTAATAAAATTAAAAAGCTATTTTCGATTGATCTCCTAAAGCCGTTCGTCGTTCTCCAAAGATCTGAGGATGCCTGATTTAATGTAAAGTAGCTTGGAAATACCAGCAGCAAAGGCTCGATAGAATTATGTCTGGTGGCAAATCCTTCGACGAGGTCACTGGCGACGCGTTCGAGCACCGAGAGGTGTGATGATCGAATTAGTCGTCTGCACAAAACTAGCACGGTTGCGCGTCTCTGTGCCTTTCGGCGACGTGTTGCGGGTCAGTTGTTCGGACGATCCGTTTAATTAGAGATAATTACGCGGAACTGCGTATATACCTATGAAAGTTAGGATTAGCACTAGTCACTGAGTGCTGAGGGTGGCTGACGGCGAACTCTGACCTTTGGCTGCCGCCAACCTGCTTCCACCTGCGTTCTAACGTTCGCAGAAACGAAGAAATGTATATCGTTTCCCAGTGTCTTCGAGGTCACTGTGTCACGCTTCAAGTACGAATACAGACGGATAATCCTTCTATGACACGTGCTACACGTGCTCATCAAGTTTTTCATTGTTTCTCTTCATTTTGACTCTACTCGCGATTCTAGCCCGTACGTTCTAGCTAAGCTATCGATCCGCTCGAGCGGAATGCTTTCGTTGATTAAAAATATCTTCTCCGAGCCGGGAAATATAACGACGATACTTTTTGCAATTTTATACACTTGATACGCTAAACTGAACGATTTAGTTTGTCGATGGACTATCTTCTTCAAGGACGAACGTCTTCGTTTTTTTTTTTTTTTTTTTTTTTTTTTTTTTTTGTCGAATCGTTGCCTTTGTTGTTTCACGGTGTTTGAAGCATATTTTCAAGGTACGTCCCATTCTAATATATCCTGCCACGCGGCTGATTAGTCCCCGAGGTTAAAATACAGGGTATCGTTACGTCGCTTTTACGCTTGTTTATTCAATGTCCGCCCTCGTATCCGGCAAATCCGACAAATTAGTTGGAAAAAGTCGACGAGGCGAGCTCCCCCGTGCATCCCCCGTAGTCGTAATTCTACGAGCATGAATCTTTAATCGGTTTCTAGTTTCAATATCCTCCCCCTCGAGAAGCAAGAGAAACTTTGGAACTCAATTCA